TTTCTTCTGTTGTAATGCAAGATGAGCATTTTTCCTTTTTGCTTCTATTTGTACTAGAGAAATATGTTAAAAAAAATAATTGTAACCTCAAAAGGGAAGACAGCCCACCTTCCAGCACTTGGGCTGGAGGACCTCGTTCTCCCTTATTTTGATGTTTAATCAATAAAAAATGATGATTTGCAATTATGATTGACTCTTCTACCTCTTTTAGTTCTACTAGCTTTGTAGTGATGACTTACGATCTTTCTATCCCATTTTATGGGTAGAGAGATTTCTTCTTTTGAACTGAAATCTATTCTAAATTGAAATTGGATTTAGAAGTGAAGATTTTCTTCATTATCTTGTAATTCTCTATCTCATAGATAACTACAGTATACTGATGAATAAAATTTCATAATTTTCTTAATCAAGTTATTCATTCTTATCAGAGGATAGGATTTATTTTGTAGATTTTTCTTCCTTGTCCAAGAGAAGTAAGTCTTCTTCTCTTGCACTTGGAAGATGATCTTACAACTGAGAAATATTTTTTTTAAAGATTTGGAAAAGGAAGCTAGTTATAAAAAGTGAAAAGATGCGCAAAGCGTCAAAAGTTAAAGATACACAAAGTGTATCAATCAATTGAAATTTGTGCAAAGCACATGAAAGTTGATGAAGTGGCTCAAATAACCCAAAAGTGTTAAGTAAATGGTTTCCCTTTCTAGTAAATCTCTAAATCTCAGAAAATCTATATCCTTTTGATATTTTTGATACTTGAGTCTGAAAATTATGATTTTGAAATCATCATTATACATTAATATTCTATAAGATATGGAAGTCTATTCTCATACAAGAAATGAAGAAAATTAAATTTCTTTTTCTAATTTAAATTCTTTTTTTGGATTAGATTTCAATTCAAGAGAATAAAATACTCATATAAGTGAGATGACATAATTTAGCTAGTATGGAGCTTGATCTGAGTTAGTAAATTTAAATTGAGGTTCCTATTAAAATTAGAGGGAGTTAAGTACTAAACTCCTTTGGGATTTGTGCTCTTTTATCACTTTTGACTGGGTCCACACCCTTCTACATTTATTGGGATTGGTGATGTTGATCCTTTATTTGAAAGTGAATTGCTTCTTCCTGTCAGCCCTACTCTGATAATTGAAGCCCCCAGTCCATTCACATGAGTTGAATCTGATCGGAGATGTTGTGGTCTTTTAGATTAGACTCTTTTGAGATAGGATATTGGGTCCATGCCCACCTATGTTAGTCAGGTGGGGTGATAGCAAGCCATTATACCTATGAGATTCTCTTCTTCATATCAGTCTTGATCTGATAGATGTAACCCCCAGTCCATTCATATGGGTTGAATGTGATTAGGGAAGCCAGAGTCATTAGTTTAGACTCTTTTGGAGGTAGGATACTGGGTCCACACCATCCTATGCTTATCAGGTGTGGTAGTGTTGATCCTCTATCCTGATGTTGATCTTGATTATGCATTAATTTTAATATGATTATACTCCCCAGTTTATTCACATGAGTTGAATGTGGTCTGGGCTATCAAAACCAATGATTTATTTTCTTATAAGATCTTATGTGATTTTCTCTCTCCCCAGTTTTGTTCATGTGGCGAACAAGGTATGAGATATCAAAACCAAATCACAATTCCCTTTAAAAAAAAATACATGTGATAAAAAGAGGGAAGATCTTAGTAGAGCAAAATTGGTTGCCCTTGACACAGGAGGAACCCGATAATACTCTCTAAGAGCATGAGTTCCCTAAAGTTCTTTTTCTTACCTCTCCTTTGAGGTGCCTTGGTGTTTGCCTCAAGGATGAAAGCACACATATCTGAGTATGATTTTCCACAACTTTAATTATCTTTGTTAAGTGATGTAGTACATTGTGTTTTGAATGTTAAACATCACTATCTTGTGGGCTTGGGTCTTTCTGAGGAAGGATCAATCCCCTTCTGCCCTCTTTCGGCAGTCTACTCCCCCATTCATACACTACTCTGAGCTGACATAGTGGTCTTATGAATGCGATAATATTACTTCCACTTCTCATAGGGTCCTACCCAGTTAGGGTAGGTGTTACCACTGTGACCTTCTGATGGTTGTGGATTTCACTCATGATTACTGTACTAGGTGTCAGGTGTGCTCCCCTGACACTTCAGAGTTGTTTTTCTTAGCTGTGGTGTAGTACACCTGTTCTCAAGTGTTAGCACCAAAGTTTTAAGAGCTCTGATTTTCTATTTGAAAGATCGACTCCTTAGTTTCTTTACTCACTTACTTTCTACATTTGTACCCTACTCTGAGCTGCTAGAGTAGCGCTATGAATGTTGTGTTGATTGCTCCTACTCCCCACAGGGTCCTACCCGATCAGGGTAGGTGTTACCACTGTGACCCTTCTGATATTTTATCATTCCTATTCATGATTACTGTCCTCAGGTAGTGAATATGTCCCTTTACTATCTAGAGCTGTTTTTCTTGTAGTGATGTAGTATACCTTGCCTCGGATATCAACATCGCTACTTTGAGAACTTTGAGCTTCTAGCAAAAGATCAGTTCTCCTACTCCTTTTCGTGACCTATCCTATCATTCATACACTAGGCTCAGTCGCCGGATTACTCTTATGAATGTGTTCAGGTCTTTCACTTCCCACAGGGTCCCACTAGTTTATGTGGGTGTTACCACTGTGAGATTTTACTTACTCAGAGTTGTTGCCCTTAGTGGAGAGGATGCTTCCTTGCTACTTTGGCTTTTTTTTCTCTCACTTGGTGATATGGGGCGTCGTGCCTTAGGTGCCACCATCACCTTTTACTTGAGCTTTGACTCTATGATACATAGTCAGCTCTCCTATCTACTTTGCCACTTCTTTTCCCATTGAGATCCGACTCCTAGCTGCTGGAGAGGACCTTTGGATGTTTTGATACTCTTTCCACTTCTCATAGGGTCTTCATCAGTTGGTATGAGTTTACCCCTGTGGCTCCTTGAGAGTTGTTTTTATTAGGCTTAGTCCTACTTTCTGTAGCAGAGGCGCCCCCTCGCTACTTCAGTTCTTTTCACTCCTTTGGAATGAGATTACCCCTTTGTACACTCTACTGAGGGTATATCTCTTCCATATTTGGTTAAGGGATGTCACACTGATGTCCCTCCTTTCCTTTTGTGTAGGGTTAGGGTTCCCTAGGAGATCCTGATGGCATTTGGACACTCATGGCCACGACGATTTGTCCTCTACCATGTGGTTACAAGAGCGCTAGAAGGGATTCCCGAGGTGGCTCTACCCTTAAAATTATCTCATTTGCTTCTTTCTCCCTCACATCCCTACACAGATATGTGTTAGGTAGATGTTGAGGTGACTATTACCTTCTATCCTGCTGTTTGAAATGAACAGACAGGTAGTCGGTTTACTTGGTAGAGAGGACCTGACAGAGCACCTGACAGGTATTCCTCGTCACGCTCTTGATTGTCCTGTTTTGATCAGTCAGACATCAGAGCCTGACTCTTTATTCATTCAATTGAAATGACTGAGTGGGTATTGAGCCCTTCTTCATTTCCAAAGCCGAGCTGGTTGAGCAGATGTTGAAGCCTACCCGTTGAGTGAGCCCGACAGAGTCCCTGGGAGGCGTAATTCCTCAACAATTCTCTTTTTACTCGGATGTCCTATAAAAGACTACGCAGGCTTCCACTTCGTGGTTCATGAGCTTCTTGCTGAGATCAGGCAGAAGTAGTGGCCACCCCAATCCACTGTCCCGAAAGGGGCAGGAGGGGCGGGACCCTTTTCACCTTCTACCCACTGTCCATATGCGGTCAGTCTGGTCGTTGGTTTTACCTTTCCGTTGAGTGAGCCCGACAGAGTCCCTGGGAGGCACAATTCCTCAACACCCCTTTACTCGGATGTCCTGTAAAAGACTACGCAGGTTTCCACTTCATGGTTCATGAGCTTCTTGCTGAGGTCAGACAGAAGTAGTGGTCACCCCAATCCACTATTCTGAAAGGAACATGAGGGGCAGGATCCTTTTCACTTTCCACCCTGCTGCCCAGATAGGGCCAGACAGGTGGTCGGTCTTACCTTACCTAGTTAAGTGAGCCCGACAGAATCCCTGGGAGGCTATCCTCAACGACTTTTTACTCCGGATGTCCTGTAAAATACTACGCAGGCTTCCACTTCGTGTCTTCTTTACTTTTGCTGAGGTCATGCAGAGGTATCGAGTCACCCCAATCCATTGTTCCAAAAGGATCAGGAGGGGCGGGATCTTTTTCACTTTCCACCCCGCTGTCTAGATACAGTTAGGCGGGTAGCTGGTTTTACTTGGTAGAGAGAGTCTGACAGAGCACCTGGCAGGAACTCCTCGTCTCTTTTCCTGAGTGTCCTGTTCTGATCAAACATGCACCAGGCTTTGTGACTCTTTTGTTTGTTATCCTGAGTTGATCAGACAGATACTGAGTCACCCCAATCCA